AAGAAGAAGAAGAAGAAGAAGAAGAAGAAGAGAGAGAGAGAGAGAGAGAGAGAGAGAGAGAGAGAGAGAGAGAGAGAGAGAGAAGAGAGAACAGTGAGTTTAGACCTGACAACAATGTGAGAAGAGAGACCAAGATATCCTGCTCCTTTTCTTGAAATAAACTTTAGGAAAGCAAAACAGAAAGTGGAAAACTGCTTTGTGTTTACTACAAAGTTTACCAAAGATAGGGTGTGTTGCATAAAATATGAAGAAATAAAATTAAAACATTGTGTAAAAAGGATTTATTAGAGAAGGGGGTAGATGGGCCATTCTTCACTGGGCACAGCCACTGTGATGGAATGATTGCCCCCGGTAGTGGCAGTCAATTATTTAATTCTAGTTTGGATCAGTTTCAAGGGGCTATGCTTTAGCACGTGTCTTTTTGTAATCTTTGGGAGGGTAACTGCTGCTATCGGTTGCTTCATGCAGCCCCCTGAACCCCTTACTCAGACTTTGGTGCAGTGGCTCACAAGAGCACTGAATTTATATGGCTTCTGGGTCTCTTGTCTTTCTATTCCCATGGCTCTGGGCTCATGATCCTCTGTGTTTCAGGTTTCTCTACCCTGGTCTAACCTGGGATTTATATATACAGGACTGCAGACTTGGTCTGAGGTCACCATTACAGTCTTCTTTTTTCTCCAGCCACAATTATTTATAATTCAGACTCTCATTTTCTCCCTTGCCTAGGTCTTAAACCATACTTCTCTAACGATGTGCTTGCCAATTCCTATTTTTTCAATACTTTTATTGATTTTTTGAGAATTGCACAGCATGAACTTTGATCACACTCACTTTCTTGTCTTCCAAGGTCCACCCGCATTTGTGACCTTCCCCCAAAGAAGAATAAGAAGAATGAGGAGGGGGAGGAGGAGGAGAAGGAGAACAAGTCCAATTTGTGTTGGCCACATACTCACTGGAGCATGGTCAAACTTACCATGGCCTTAAAGAAAACTGAGTCCCCATTGTACCCCAACAGAAGCCATCAACTGTGGAGAGCTATACTTCAACATCCTTATCACATTTTAAAGAGTTCCCTATGATGGTTTCCTGTCTAGCCTGTTACTTTTTGGGGTGGGGGTAGATGTTGTCACAGAAGCCTTCTGTAATCCTCTTTCTCAACTTTGAGTCTGCAGTTGTCGATACCACTGCAAAACTACCTTTGTTGACTTTTACAGTCAGTGGGAGCACAGATCACACATTTCCATATGGTCTTTAGTGGTAGCACTGCCCACAGACATCAACGTGGCGGCTTCAGGTGGCAGGTAGCCCAGAGCACAGACATCTACATGGCCTTCAGTGGTAACATGGGCCGCAGATATCAACATGGCCCCTCACCACGTAAGATCATGGACCCAGACATGGCCCTGGGTGGCAGCATGGATTGTGGACATCAACATGGACTCAGGTGGCTGCACAGGCCATCCACACCAACAAGGTCCCAAGCTGCTGTAGACTACAAACATCCACATAAACCTCAGTCTTCAACATGGCCTGGGGCAGTGGACCATGGATACCAACATGGCTTCCAGGGCCAGTATGGACCATAGAGGAGGTCCAATCCAGAAAATGAATTGTTCTTCGTCTTAGACATCCTGTCTGTTGCTCAGAACCAGGGTAATCATGTGGCTGGGCAGCATGTTCGGGAGCTGAGTCTGTGCAAGCTCCAGGCTGTTGCACACCACCCTGCCAGACTTGCTTAGCAAGGAAGGACATGGTCCCCTGTCTACCACAGCCTTCTCTCAGACCTGTCACTGTAGTCATGCCTTCCACTCACTGCTACGCTCCTCCATTTTTCCTCCCTCTCCATACCATATTTGTTTGTTGTAGTGGCATTGGAAACCACAGTGTGTCACCTAGTATTTTTTTTCCCCAAATAAGCTTTACATGCAAATATTCATTACAATGAGTCATTGGTCTGGTTCGAAGTTTCTGGTTCCTCAGGGACCATAAATACTGGACCATTGTCCAGACTCCTCTTGGATATTCTGCTGTGGCTGAGAGTCATAGTGATGTGGGATGATGGGGTAGCTAGGCAGGGTGATTGGGGATGGGGGCAGGTTCTGTGCCAGCTCCTGGTTGCTGCTCCTCCCTGTCCTTTACATCTGGCACCCTGAGGTACGCCAGGGTGGATCGTTGTGCTTGGAGCCTGCTGCTGGCGCTGCTGCCCCACACTATCCTTCTCCCAGCAGGAGAAGCAGCCAGAGCTGCAGCGCTGCTCCATGGGGGTGGGGAGGTGGCTGGCGGGCCTAGGACCAGCTCTTCAGTAATAACATGTTTTCTCAGAAACTCCAGGCCTCTGCACACTACCCTGTCCTCTGCAGGCAACACTACTACACACGGTGACTGTCTCTAGCAGGGTAAGCAGCACAGGCTGTAGCCCGGGTGGCTCTGTGTTGGGGGCTGTCCTGTCCTATTCAGTAATGACATGTTTCCTTGGGAATCCAGGTCACCTGCACTTCCAGTCTCTCAGCAGGGCAAGCATCATGGGCCCCAGCTGTGGTGGCTCTGTGCTGGGAGTTGGCCCTACGTCACTGACTTGTTTTTGCAGGAGCTCCAGGCCACCATGCAACTCTCTGTCCTTTGTGCCTGCAACCCCCTGGTCATCAGGCACAACCTTTGTGCTTGCAGCTTTCTGGCTGAGACTCTGTGGCTAAGGGTGTAGACCGGTCATTCTCTGCCACAAGTGGCTCTGTTCGGCCATCTTTCTTTCTAGTTTGGCGGGTTCACTTTTTAAAAGCACCTTCCAATACCACTTGCCTTCCCCCCACCCCCTTAGTTGTTCCGGAACTACTGCAGGCTCTGCAGACTCATTTTTCTCCACCTTGTCACCCTCCAGAGCCTCCATGGATCTCTTGGACTTCTCGGAGATCTGTGGCCATCTTTGATTTCTCTCACAAAGTGCTATTGAAGTACTAGAGAGGTCCCCAGAAATCCACAGATTCCTCGACAATAGACCACTGGCAATGGTCAAGAGAAAGCCCGAACTGACCTACTCTGGTAATAGGATGGCCAAACACCCTAACTGTGGTGCTAGAATTCTCATCCAATGACTGAGGGAAGCGGATGCAGAGATCCATGGCCAGCCCCCAGGTGGAGCTCCAGGAGTCCAATTGGCAAGGAGGGTTTTTTTTTTTTTTTTTTTT